AGACTAATCGTTCTCCCTGTAGCAGAACACCAGATATGTTCAGAGGTGTGCTGCCTTTCATGCTATACCTAAAAGGTTAAACCCACATGCCAGACTCTTTTCTTTCCCACAGCTGTAAATTAGTAATAAGGCTTTTTGCTGCTCTGACCAGACACCCAACAGGGACTGGTGTTTACATGCGAGACAATTAATGTGCTTTTGGAGGAGGCAGGAGATAAAACTGGATTAAGAAATGACTGCTAATGGCTGTGGAGGGCAATGTTTAAGGTTACACAGATCTCTCTAACAGGAGGGGGCCTGCTGACCTGCTATGACCTGTGTTTATCCCCTAAAACCATTGCTTCAGTTTACATGACACTTTAAACAAAAGAGAAGAGCAATGTATTGTCATGGATTTTTCTGTTAAAACACTGGACACCAACAGAAATAAAAGCAAAGATACTGATTAATGAAAAGATTATAATTGATCAATAAATGGACAGGACTCACACAACGTTGGCGAGCAAAATCAGGCTAACCATATAATAGAACAAAGAAAGGGGCACAGATTGGTCGATTACACCCATGAGATATCTTGTGTATTTTATTCCATGCAATGTATTCTGCTCCATGACCTACATTGGACCCCCAGGTACAGCTATAACTGTGTATGAACTCTGGATAGCCCACCTCAGTTCCACCCGTCCAGTCGGCTGGACGAAGGCAGGAGACTAGGTCAGCACATTTGTGGTGCCAGGCAATGGCGCCGGGAAAGCCCCAAGGCGAATAACACTTTTATATGGACAGTGATTAACAAAGTTTCAACTATACCCAGAGGGGAGGATCAACAAGATATGTAAGGTGAAGAGGGTTTCACCCTTAACCAGTGTCTATGTTCAAGAACCCAGCCTCGGTTTTGTTCGGATATTACAATAAAATCTCAGGGATTGCTCCGGACTCTGTCTGCTGTTGGTTTTTTTTTCAGTTTTTGTGTATTTGCTTAAGTGTTAGACATTTCTTATTGGAAATAGTTGAAAGTTAAAGTGTTGAGGTGAATCAGAAGATTTACTGGCCCATGTGAAGAAGATCCTCAACAGATATACATGTCTGTGTGTGCTACATGCGTGTATGTCCTAAGACACAAGAAATGTAAAGATACTTAAAGAGCCCTTGACCCCTTTAAGTATAAAACTGGACGAGAACAGAGGGCCTCTTGAGTGAATAACATTGATTTCTAATAACACACTCAGTATCATAAGAGAAACACAAGTGGGTGAAAAGGGATCAACTAATGATTTTACTTCCAGATTTTGGTATTAAAAATGTAAACAAACCATTTAGTCTTATAATCCTTTCATAGTATTCCTATTGATGTGGTTAAAAGAAACAGAAAATCAACATCACTGTTTTACCAACAGAACTAAGGAGGGAATTATGCTGCTGTAATGTGTGTCTGAGCACATAACTACACTGTCACACATAGACAGCGTACCCTGAACGGGCTTTAACAGTGACGCTGCCCTGGGGAACGAGCACATCCCTGAATTGGTCAGATGCTTCTCTGAATTTCTCTCCCAAACTTTCCATATCAAAGACAGTCATTGTGATGCAACTTTGGACTTTGTTACTGGTCCTATAGCTATGCATGTCCCATTCATTTTGGTTTACTCACCTGGTGCATACCTCCCCTGCAAAATTCCTGTTCTACATTCATATATCCATTCAATTCACAATTGTGAACATTTCACTCAAGACCAAAAATTCTCTGGAAAACTGCTTTCGAAGAGATCTCATCTAATAATCATAATTGATATGAAAATAAAGCCCAAAATGGCAGGTTGTGTGATTAAGAATGCAGCTTTGCAGATGGGATGTCTGGTCTAATTTAATTAGTATTATTCATTTAAGCAATTTTTTGCACTAGGCTGTGTTACTCATACAGTAAATGTTTATTATAGGTTGTAAGTGCTATATGAAAGCAACTGGACCTGTTTTAAGTTCTTGATGATGCTCCACCTCTCTTCTGAAAGACTTCACTTTTTACTGACTGGTGGGGACCTGGGAGTTGTGTTGTGCCATGTACCAACTCCTCAGGTCAGGACTCAGCAGGGCATCTACATCTGAAGGACAAGGGGCACTCATATGAGGACAGTAATGTGTACATTTTGGCCCGAATTTGTGTGTGAAAGAAGCCATGTACGTCAGACTGGAACGACCCTCACTATGCAAAGGAAGTGGTCTGCGACACCACCTATTAGCCACTTAACAATTGTTATTATTGAGATCCCTCCCCATGTAGCTTAACACCTATTTCCACCATGGCACCATGTAACCCCAACAATTCACATTATGGTTGAGTGGGTCAACGATTTGCATGTGACAACTCTCAAGGTGTTAATGTCCCCACAAGAAGTTGAATGCCTGGGACGTCCCACCAGTCACCAGTCCATTTTGGTGGAGTAGTGGAGCAGACTGTGTGGCCGTCATCTCCCTCACTGTCTTCCCAGAACACCATATTCGGTTTGGTCCTGCGGCTCCGTCCCCTCACTTATTGTTCATGTGTTAGTATCTATCATTGCTTAAACACTGAGGTAGCAGTGAGCTGTTGCTGGTTCCTTTTTACATGAATAACTAAGTTAAATGAACAAGACAACTCTTACTAAGCTCCTTTTTTTGCTCAGATATTATTTAATGACATCAGTTTTGTCTCATTGACCTCTCCTCCGAGCTGTTGGTAAATATATTTTGTCCCAGTTTTCATTAACAAAAGTAACCACAGAGGGTCAGTTTGCTAGACCTGAATGCAGCAATGAGTAAGAATAGCTGATAATCCACTAAATAACTTTAGAAAAGTAATTACTGAACCAATTAAAGAAATACTTTAAGGATAAAGAAAGACAGGCACTACACAGAATTCAAAAAGCATCTCCTTATATCCCCTGGGGGTCTCCACCTATTGTGGAGCTTAATCCTCAGGTTACCACCCTTTTTCATTTCCACGTTTTTATTAGCTGGTCGTGACCTTATACACGGTCTCGAGACAATTTCCCAACATACCTTTTCTCCCCCACATGGTGATGTCAACAAAATGGCTTTTAGACCTTTATTTGTTCACTAGAAGTTGTTTTGGTCGTGGTCACAGATCCTCCAACAGATGGGCTTCCATTTGACCTTTCCACGGCACATTGATTTTTTTTTTCCTCAGGACATCAGATGCCATAAATGCTTTTTGAAACATGATTTTTGACATTAACTTACGTGATATCTTTACAAATAAGAGTTATTACTTGTAAGATGACATGAAAAAAGTGACATGGACAATAATAGCAGGCAAGTGTTAATATTTCTTTTTATTTCTCTTTCAGGAAAGTTTCTTCTCCAACCTGCTACAAGGCTTAACAGAGGACAAAATGTATTCTAATGCTTGGATGAATGGACAGCACCAACAAGTTGGACCCCCCTCAGAGTCTTCACAAGCTACTACTCTGCCTACCCATGACACAATGAGGAATCGGCAAACAGGGGCAGTAAATAATTCCTATCATTACAGGACAGCGAAAATGGGAGGCACCTTTCAAGAAGGAGCGTACTCGAACAGACATATGTCGAAATGGCAGACCTCAGCAGCTCCTCATCAACCAGTTTCTCTCCAGCAACCAAATGGAGGGAACAATGGCAGTTATCTGAATGTTTTACTTAGCAATTGCCACAACTCAACTAATATGCAAAGTGGAAACCATTGTTTGCCGGTCATTAATGGATTTCAGGGCGCTACTAATCACAATTTTTATCAGAACTCTGCTCAGAACTCAAAACTTCAGACCCCGCCCAACACAATGTCTACATGCCCTAAGCAAGCCAAGATGGCACACTGGAACCAAATAGGGGTACGAGATGGTACAACTGTGTCTGATGTCCAACATTGTGGAGTCAAGAAAAGACTGTATCACCAAGTTATTGGAAAGCAGATTAAACCCTACTCTGCACATGTTACACCAGCTACCTCTCTGCCACATGAAGAGGTAGTTTACACCAACACATTAGTATCTCCCACTGCACACAATAGACAGACCGCTCACAACCAGAATCACAGACAAAATGTCACTCAGCATGGATTCTGTCCTTCCACCCCCCTGCCAAGTTACAGTACAGCTGTCTCTCAGTCTTTGATAAACCACAATATTACAACAAACTCTTCATCATGTGGCCAGATTTGGCACAGCACCGGCATGGGTCAGAAAACTCAACAATACTCAGCTCAACTCAATTCACTAAATAACAATGGGGGAGAGGCCACCTCCTCTATTAACTCAGACTCAAATAGCTGGTTCTTGCAAAAAATAAATGAACGTCTCGTAGATCCTGCTGCTGAGCTAAGGATTGCAAGAATTGCAGACAATCTACGCAAGTCCTGCGCTGCTGGCTCAGATGGCCGTTATCAAGTGCATAATAAATCACCTTACAAAGGGAAGCAGTTTGTCGAGTGTAATCAAACTATGCAGCCTATGACATCAGTTGTTGCTGAAGGTTATAACTCAAATGCCACCCAGCTTTTGCCACTTCATTATTTGCCTAACACCACCCAGGGTGTTATGCCAAGAGCACAGCACATTGTAAATGCACCACCTCAGCACAGCTCTGTACCAGATGTCTTCCGTGTAACAACAACAGGAGACAAAAGTGGAAATGGAAGTATGACAGACAGTGCATTCTTTCCTAAAAATAGCACCATCTCAAAAGAAAATCTAGTTGGTTATTCAAATGATGCATCTCAGCTGATGCTGATGCTGATGCCTGAGAGCATTTCACCTCAGAGAACCGCGAACCAATCATCTGATGTAAACAACCGTGAAATGCTTGAAATACTTGAAATGCTCTCATCGGTCACACAGAATGACAGTTCCATTCACTCGTCTCCTGGTCGCACAGGCACGAGAGCTGTTGCGGTTGTGCAACCACTGTCACAAGAAAGCTACCAGGTTGCCAACAAGCATACCCCTCCTAACAATACCAATCAATTGGGTGAGTGCATTGCAACAGATGAATCTTTGTGTAATGCTCAGAAATTATTTAATTCACCAGCTGCAGCACAAAACAGTGAGACTGCAAATGTAAGACAAGGATTTAATATTTATCCAGAAAGCCCAAAACAAATGAGGTCCAACAAACATGTAATCAGACGTTCAGCATCATTCAATGATAGCGCTGTTGTGTCATCTTCAGATGACAAAGGATCTGAAGTGGCTGCTAACATGCAAGTAGAGCAGGGTGTTGCACTAGCTGCTCAACATTCAGTAACTTCTGAGGTGCCAGTAAGCCAAAATGGCAATACAGATAACACTGGGATGCCAACAGATCCAAAGGCCTATGTTTGTGACCTGTCCTCAGTCCCAACAACCCCATGGACAATTGCCACATTAACCAAGTTGATCCTGGATGCTGAAAAAGCCCAGATGGAGTTAGAAGATTTTACAAAGTTTGATTCTGTAAACAAAGTATTAAGAATGTTCTGGGATGGCCAAGGTAAAAATTTGGCTTGTAAACTCAAGGCAGGCTGGTATAAGGATCTAATCACTGAGATTAAAGAATTTGGCAAAAAACATTTAACACCAGACTGCGTCATACTATCACAAGTAACACAAAGCCCTGAGAAGCAACTCAAAAGCTACCATGTCCTCAAAGATAATGAAACTTATTCAGAACTGCCCTACAAATCATCATGGTTGAATGTCAACGAGCAGGTAGATGACATTGATAAAGAGTTTGGCTTCCCGTGGTCATGGATGCATCGTTTTCACATGCTTGAGAGTCTTAGCCACTCAGATCAGGTTGGGATGGTCAACAGCATCCCTGCACAAGTCGTAAATAAGGTGCCAAATGAAGTCTTGTCACAAACAGAGCTTGAACCTGTGGACTCAGGTGAAGAAAAACAAGCATCCACTGCTGAAGATATCTCAACTCAAACTTCTTCTCCTAGTAAGAAGGAAAGTTATGATTCCAGTGACCCATACTACTCGTTTGAAATCCATGTTTTGCCTCCAGAAGAGGCCAAAATAATCTTTGGCCAAATTTCATCAAGCCAAAGTTCTCTAACATCAGGAACCTCATCCACCAATGAGTTTCCTGATGTTAGATATGTCACATTGAGCGAGCCAAAACTGAAGAATGAGGTAGCCTTGTCAATAGAACACATTTGCTGCATTGATAAGTGGCTGGAAAAATTTGGTGGGTCTGATCAGAGTAAATGCCGGTGCAATGAAGAGCAAAGCAATAAAGACTGTACTGACAAAGCCCTTGAGAAGGAAGAGATGACTGTACCAAAGAACGATAAACCGTGTGCCATCAGGTCTGACAGTCAGTTCCACTCTCCCGTTGAAGGACAGGATCAAGCGAAGGTTCGGGAGAACATTGATAATCCAGTTCCAACATATAGCTGGCCTGATCTATGCAATGATCTCAGTCTAACCACTGAATTGATTGCAGATGACCACAAACCTGACTCATTTTCTGACGAAGAAGCAAAGAACATTTCCCAGATAAGCATAAACAACAGCCAGTCAAGCGATATACTCATAAGTGAAACCGAAGCGGAAGATCTCTCCAGCAGTGAAATTCCCAGCCAGATCCCAGATTCTGGCAATCTGATGTCAGACCCTGAGGAGGAGTGTTTACAAAATCAGCTGAAATCAGCAGGAAGTAATCAGTCAAGTTGTTCAGACAATGGCAAGAAAGAAATCCAAAAGGTCTCCAACAGTGAAGCTGCGAGCCACATGTCAGACCCTGAAGAGGATTGTGCACAAGCTCAGCTGACTTCTACAGATGTGGCAGAGTCATCATTGGAAATTAAAAAAGGACAAACTGAAATTAGTGCAAAGACAACTTTCAGTTTTAGTCAAAGACATGAAAGTGTTAAAAGAAAGAAGAAGACACAGAGCAGTAATGAGTGGAGTTTTCCATTCCTGAAGAAATTAAAGAAATACAGACCCTCTGTTAATCTGGATGCACAGCCTGTCTTAAAGGGTTCAGAATGTAAGAAGGGTTTTGTTGATGCTGCTGATAGTGAACCTTCAGCCTCAGATGTCAGAACTGTAGAACTGGTGCTGTTTGGCTCAACACATCAAGGGAAGGGCGTTTTAACTCGAGACAGAAAGCACCATGTTTCATCTTTAGGGTCTTTGTCTGAAGCAGTAGAGAGGCCTCCAGCTGTTCTCTCTGTGGCTCTCAATCCCTCAAGGAGAAAGTCCAGTGTTCCTGCATTAGAACATTCAGTCAAACATCACATTTATGAAAAATGGAGGAGAAGTTATCTACCAACTAAAATTAGGCACAGAAGGAAGCTGACAACAAAGAAATATACTTCTTTATCTGGGGTGAATCTGAAGAAAGTTGAAACAGCTGTCCCCACCAATACCAAGGAGCTGCCAGATGCCTCTGAAAGGAGGACCTGCAATGGAAATACCAAGCGCTCCCTGAGTCTGAAGAGGAAGAAATCTTTCGCTAACAACCTTAGGGAGGAGAAGATGATGAAGCATGCGTTTACACTCAAACGGCCCCATCAAGAGAGAAGTGACGCTGAAAATGGAAGCCATGCTGTGATGCCTCTAGAGGAGAACAGTGTCCTGAGGTTCAGTGTGTTACCAAACACCTTCAACTTTGTAGATGGATCCAAAAGGAGAAGGGAATCCACTGATCCCGTGTCGGGTAAGTCATACTATCAAGATTATTGGGGCACTGTGAAGTAATGTGTAACTTTTGTTGTAAGTGTTTAGTTGTCTTACAGTTGAAGTGAACATTAAAGTGGATAAAGTGACACAGAAGAAGAAGCTGTGCCCATCCTCTTACTTCATTTGAACAACTGTCATAGACCTTAAACCATAGATCCTATTAATAAATCTAGGATTTGAAGAACTTGAATTTAAATAAGGCAACATGCTCCGATTTAGGATTTGTCACAACCACTCAAAAAGGAAATATAGCAGGCATATTAGTATAAAATGTTTATTCAAGTCCCTCTTGTCTTGTGCAAATCTTTTCCTTTGTGATATTTCTATCATGTTTTGGATGGGTGCACAAGAGGCCACTTTGCAATATTTGCACTCCCCCTGCAGGCCTGCTTCAGAACATGTGTTTCCAGAGTAAACCAGGGTGTAGAACTCTTTGACTGTCTAGTTTTGTTTTTATAAAAACATGACTTTTTTTTTCAGATAACGCTGACTTTGTTGAGAGAAAGGACAAGAGCCCCTGTATAACTATCTCGAGGGCAAAAGGTAACAAATACAACTTAAACATACATACATTCCTGTTATTTTTTATTTCTTTGTTATTACTTGGGCAGTGGCTACAGTTTTTCCTAATTACTGTGAATGAACTGCACCGTAGGTACATGGTTTGCATGTCCTGAGAAGAAGTATTATCCTCTACACTCGCCCTCCGTCCCCAAGACCTCCATCGTCTTCCAGGAGTTTCAGAAGAAATACATAGAGAAGACACAGCCATCCACAGCCTAATACCATAACAAGCCGAGAGATTTTGAGTCAAATATTTTTCTGCTCTCTGGGAAATTCTTCCTTTTGTGTTTTTGTAATGTGTATTCAAGCAAATTGAAGTTTTGCCAGTTTGTATATACACTTATTTGCCTTAACATTACAATATTTGCCTTTGTCTGTCGAGCAAGTTACTATTGTGTGAAATGCATGTTCTCATGTTTTTGCACATAAAATTCTCAGTTGTTTACATTGGCTGTATAAACCCTCAAGCTATTCACTTCAGGTACAATTTCAACTGTCTCACAAAAAATATTTTAGGCAAACATATAACTTGCAGACAACCTGTAAACTGTATATTTCAGCTGCATATTTATATTTTTCTACATTAAGAATATTTTTGTATCCTTGTTTTTTTTTTTTTTTTTTGCATTTTAAACATTGCGATGCGAAATGTGATCTACTTTCTATGTACATTGTAAATTGCTGTTTTATTTTTGCCATTAAATATCCTATTAAAAGAAAATCCTTAAATGCCTCAATTCCTTAAATTGTCAGTCATCTTAGTGGGTTAATGTGAGCTGCCTGGTTGCCAGTTCATAACAGGCAGTCAGTGCATGTGCTAGTTGGAGCTGTATGTATGGGAGTAATGAATGTGGAGGGGAAATGACTTGGCTTATCTTAAAAAGAAAGTCTTTGTTCTTTTTAATGATGCTGGGTACAGCTATTTGCATTACTGGTGTGAAAATAAATGTGAGGTTAAAGGTCAGAAAGCCCTCACAGCTGTACAACAGTAACCATAGCAACCAAGGCCCTATAGGCTAGCATATTGATGCAGAAAGGTGTGCAGCATGATTGAGTCTCAGGGACACATGGTATACAGCAAGTTGCAACATGCGTTAGGCAAGATGTGAGCTCATGCTTAGATGTATTCGAGTCTTCACACGTATGTAAGAAATTTGGTTAGAAGAAGATTTGGACGGACAGTATGTGACGTGGGAGCTTGTGCCATATGAGGACGCTGGCTTTGAATACACCCTTTCCTACGCTTTTTCCTTACTGTGAACTTTGAATATTCTATAATATAATGCCCTCAATCTCTTGTTTTTCTCATACAGTACAATTTTACAACATTTCGAATAATCTCGACTAAACTATGTAGCTTCTTTGTCCCAGGGTCAGACAACAGCTCATGCCTGCTTTGTTTCACTGCATAAAATCTCCTCTGTCTCACAGTCACTGGTCCTCTCATTAGACTTGAACAAACTGTAGCAACTGCGGGTATATTGGAAAGCGTAAACATCATACTAATGTTTTCCAGATGTTCTGTGTTCAGGCTTCTTTTCCCTGGCAACTGTAACAGGACCTCCTGATAGGTTATATTAGTGACTGTCCAGCTTGTGGACAGTTAATGACTTCCATCCAATTGGTTAATATTATTCTGTTTTTAGGCAAGTAGCCAGTCATTGCCTTCTGCATTTATTATAATGAAAACTATAAATTACCTCTTGGTCTTTTGTTTGAGGAGATTCTCCCCTTGGTTTCAATGCTGCAGGATACTATGTTGTTTATATTGTCTTTAACATACTTATTCTTCTTCAACCCATCAGCGTTTTGTGTGTTTATTCCTCTGAACAGTGAACTCAAAGACTGCAAATATTGCAGAGTGAATGTGAAGGAATTTTCCAGAGATGCACACATAGATGGTAGGTATAGAGGACACAGAGTCTGCACGAGGCTCTTAGGTCAGGCTGACCCTAAATCCTATGGGAGGAGACGCTCCGGCAGCTCCTCAGGACATAGCTGTATCTTTTCAGTGATAGAACTGGAGACAAAGCTGATAACAGAAGACCTTGAAAATTCAGTAAAAAACAACCCTCTTTTGTGTAACCAGCAATATAGGTATGAGTAAATCATGCTTAATGGTTATGTCTAACAAACCAATCGGATGCCAACACATCCTCTGTGTGCCTGAGATATGACCAAACATGGGCATGGGTTATTTCTGGGACTGTTGAGAACTGAATAAACACTAACCACAGGGGACCTTCGAGGTAGAATTGAGGTGGCATCATGCGCAGCAACATGTGTTTGATGATTCCTCTGTTCTCCTTGGCCAAGCTTCAATAAACATTCTCAACATAAGACATTCTGGGCTCCATCGCACTTTCTTCATTTAGGCCTTAACCATCCATAATAAGAATCTCCCTATCAGTGAGTGCTGATAAGTCTTCAGATTAGGCTGAACGTTTTCCATGCAGGCTGCTGTTTCAGTAGCGAAAGCACTGCTAAGACAAGTGGTTCCACGATGTGTACTTCCCTCCAAATTGACCAGAGATAACAGGTCTCATTTTGTAAGTAATGAAATGCAGAGACTTTCACAAAGCCTTCACATAAACCTAAACACACCCTGTGCTTATCATCCAGCAAATGGAGGCACAGTGGAATGGGCTAATAACACCCTGGAAACAAAACTAACAAAACTAATGGCTGAAACAAAGCTCTCATGGGCTGAGGTTTTACCCCTGTCACTGATATTTATGAGTGGAAGGCCTCAGGCACTCACACACAGGGATATAGGGGGCATGATTAACATCAACAATTGTTAAACCTCCGTACCCCTTCTCTTGTTATGCTCTTCCTATGGGAATGAGACGTTACCAAGTGGCCAGTATATACACACACATAAGGCCATACCACTTACTTTCTTTCAACATAAGTTAGCGGTGGATGTCTCCCTTTATCCTGTCCCTATCCTGGGGGAGACACTCCAAAGGTCCTTCAATCAATGCTGCTGTGTCCTTCTCTCCATGCTACATGAATTAAAATAGATTTAACTCCAGTGATATGACAGGGTAGATACATCCTCCCTCAATCAGATTTGTTACACTTTGGTTAAACTGAGGTCAACGTAAGCGTGCAGCAGTTGTAGATGAGACCTCAGATACAGTTACCTCTAGTCACAGTATTTTCTGAGCAGGCTGAAGTTGCTCGCTGTCACATGCAAGTTATGTTGTTGAGTTTCGCTGTACAGAAAGTATTCCATCTTTCACTTGATTATTTGGTGTATGAATGAGTTCTCATTATGCAGGATGTCTCAGGGAGTCTGCTTTAAGCCCTGGGTGGGTTTGCTGAAGGGTTTAACCCCTTTAGTAAAACCCTGTTCACACTTTCCCAGATTCAGCTCAAATATTGACCTGCTGTCGGCATACGTGTCTGTTCAGCAGGTCACGTCTGCTGTTCCCCAAATCTGCCAACAAGCAAATTTGCATACTAATGCTTCCTCTCTTCTGTCTCTCTTCACTTTCATGAATGTGCACCAACAGTTTTCAGGTAATATTATTTTGTGCTGTGAACTGATTTGACCACTTAATTCAATTTAACCAAAATATCTCAAAAGAAGGATTCATTTATTAATTTATGACAAAAAAATATTTTCATCAAAACTTTCCCCCAGATGCTGTTTGATGACTTTTGTTCTCAAAGGCCATTTCTAGCTGACAAATGACTTTGTTCACTTCACACTGGAACCACCATTGTTTTACATTTATTACATTAGACTGTGGTTTTCTTCTTTTATCCAAACCATCCCCAGCTGTTGCGGTACATTTTTATTAATCAATCAAAAGAGCATGAGTATCATATGTAATCACTAGTGTGCGAAGCAACAAGATCATGTAGTTAACTAATCAATATAACATGTTTGTACTTAACTTCATATGTAACTGTTTAATCAATAGGAGTTGCATACGTGGCGACCTCTGCAGCGGTCCAATAGGAGAGATGAGGCCCCAGCTAGATTGGCAAAGTCAAACAGAAGCCTATACAGTGTGCCAGAGCCAAAATCCATATGTATGACCATGACCATTTGTTAATAACAAATAAAGGCCTAAAGAGCCATTTCTGGTTAAAAGTAGAAATCCAGGGTTGACATCATCACCGTGTACAAAAAGTATGGTGGGGCAATTTGATCAATGCCAAAGTAGGAGGTAATTTATAACAGTTGGCCAGTCCATTAAAACCTGGACATAACGTCCATCCCAAAAAATGGAAAAAATGTTTTATCCTGAGGATTAAGCTCCACAATAGGGGGAGACTCTCCAGGGAGGATTGCTTATTGGATTCTGTTTCAGCGCCTGTGGTCATGAACCAATCTCGTGTTTGCTGTAGTTTGCTTAAAGTACAGTAAATCCAAAAATTACACTCGATTCTGCACTGCCCCCATACGTTCCTTTATTCTTAAAGTGTTTCTTTAATACCTTGGTTAAATGAATACTGTTATAAAGTTAAGTGTTGCGGACGGCCTGAAGATCCACTGGCCTGTCTGAAGAGTTCTTAAACCAGAGCAACTTTTTTTTTCTGAAAAATAACATCAATCCATGAATGACTCACAGTTTTGGTTTTGGAAAGTCATAAAAAAGTAATGACATTATATATTACAGCCACAGTGGGAACACAGGCATAATGATTTTCATAAAATGTTACTGATTTTGTTTATAAGAGCTGTGGTTTCTCTGAAGATGACTTCTCAATGAGCTGTTTGTCTCTGCGTCATTGCTTTCTTTACAGAGGACACTGCGCTCCCAGAGGTTTTACTCCCACTTACAGATGAGACCGCTGCTATATCTCAGGGCTCTGAGTCAGACAGCCAAACTTGCATAACAAGGAAGACAGCACAGCTCATTTTGTGTTAAATAATTCATGTTAGAAAGCAACATTTTTGTGAGTGTCCAGCAAAAACTACCCAGTCACATAGAGCCCCAAAGCCAATATTAAATGTATAATATATATAAAATAAATAGAGACCTTAATTATGTGAACCTTTATTTCATAATTACTTGTTTGTCCATTTTATACTGAAGAGTGTGGGGACCCATACCAGCTACTCTGTGGACATTGCATTACAAAAGTAATTGCATACATTAAATAAAAAGTCAGAAGTCAAATACTGTATGCAAATTATATAGCTATTAAAAGATATATAAAGATTCTGCTTTGTGATTTTGTCTATGTGAATGTCTCACAGCATCCTGGGTAACAACAACAACAAAAAACACTGAGTGATCCTCAGTGATCACGGACCACCTTGTGCAGATAATTTCATAGAAATTTACATTCATTTAAGAAAGTGCAGGAGATCCTCTCCAGTCCTCAGAGTTCAGGATGGTAGCGCCAAACACTGCTGCAGGTCAGACCGTAGTTTTCCTCTCTAACGGACTCAGGCAGCTCAAACTGAGCCAGCTGATGCAGGAGCCGTCGGATGCCGTGTCCCTCAAATTGAGCTCTCCCAGGATCTCCGATCAGGACCTCGGTGCCGTGGGTTTTGATGCAGCGGTCCAACCAGCTGTGAAGGCTGGTGGCCAGGACCTCGTCGTAGAACATGTCACCCAGGAAGATCAGGTCGAAGTGCTCGGGCTCTGAACCAATCATGTTGTCAGACACACAAACGGGCGGCTCCAGGCCGTTCAGCTCGCAGTTCATGTGGGTCGCAACGGCTGCAACTGCAACACAAACAGGCACATTTAGTACTTTACCTTCCTTTACACCAGATGATCCAAGTGTTATGTATATTGTCACATTAACAGATAAATGACTTGACAATCATTTCTGACTAAATGTCTGAATGAACTGAATTCTGGCCTTGCATATGTAATGGCAGCCGCTTGAAATTAATACAGGGTTATTTTTTTTTATTTTAGATGGAAATATGTGGATTTTGCCTGTTAAACAACACTGTACTATTTTTGATATCCTTTAAATATATGTTGAAATCATAGTAATATTGTTAAATATTACGTCTTCAAATCCTGTATCTCTCTGACACCTGCTGGGCTCCATAACTTTGTGTTATACATGTGGAAAATCCTTGTTTTAATGACTTCAAATCTCCACTTGTGATCTAGAAATCATATTTAGACCATATGACCCAATCGTGTGGCCCTGTCTTGTAGACAGGCACTGTGTTATTTAGTGTCTGTACTGTTTGTATTTAGTGTTAACACCTTTATTGTTCTTGTTTATATTGTGCTTACATGATGCGTATTTATGAATCATACTTCTTATGATTGCATCGTTTGACTCTGGGCCCCACAAACAACTGAACCACGGGCCATTAGTACTAAGTGTGGAAGGGAGAAATCTTATCATCGGTGGTCGAGGTATTTTGGTGAAGAAAGCACGCTGGAGGACAGGTAACTCATGCTGAGGATGTTTATTGATGCTTGATCAAGGAGAAAGGAGGAATCATCAATACAGACTTCTGTGCATGATGTCACCTCAATTCTGAAGCAGGAACCCCTGTGGTCGGCCTTTGTGCACTTTGAAAGATTACTATAGGTAGCATACACTCCATATTTGGTCAAATACCTAAAAGAAGAGGGCGAGGAGGGATGTGTGAATAGACTATTGGTCCATTAACCATAAACAAGGAAACATGATTTACACACGCCCAGGTGCTGATCTCTGAACACCAAACCATTTGTTACTGACCATCCAAGGTCTTCTGCTATCAATCGTGGCACCAGCAATAAAAACAGGAAACCACAGCTGTGTCTGCAGGAGTCGTCTGAGCGTCTCCTCCTGTAAGATCTGATGCAGTAGCTGTGGCACTGTGGCCTAGGGCCTCACATTGACCTTTCACCCTGAGTCAGTTACTCATGGTGGACAAATGAGAAAAGTGTATAGTGAAGAGTGTATTTGTGTTTATTCATTTGTCTATACAATGAAATGCTTGTGTATATCAAAATAATGACTCAAAGGTACAAAAGGAATCACAAATCTCTAGAATCAAAATATTGATGCATACCAGTGTCAATGTCATTAGCAACGACATGAGCAGCACCACATAGTTTTGCAGCGATGGCTGAGGCTCCACAGCCGCTCCCCAGGTCCAGGACTGTCTTACCCAGACACACTCCAGGGTTGTCCAAGACATATCTGCAGAGCATTAAACGGCGCTTAACGGCAGAACCTCACACACATAAAACGATGTCAGCCGTGAGACTAAAGACACCGAGAGCATACCTTGAGAGTGCCTGTCCCCCAGGCCAGTATATGGCCCAGTAGGGGTCATCAAAAGGCCAGAGCTCTGGTCTTTCTCGCCAGAACCTGCAGTTTGGGGTGAAGAGCCTCAGCCTGAGCTCAGGAGTCAGACTCTGCTCTCCGGTTGTCTCTGTGTTCTCCGCGATGAAACTCCTGATAAACGCATCGGAGCGGCCGCTGTGTGAGAGGCAGCGGTGTCTACGTGTCTGCTCAAATGCTCTGAAAAATACTTTAACATAACGGCTACATTTCGAGGGCGTTAAAGGTCCCGGCATGATCATGAAACGCTTTCCACACGAACGCAAAATAAGTGTTGGACAAAAGTTCCATCAACCTCTCGAAACAAGGACGCAAATTAACGTTCCGCTCTAAAAGGTTCCTACTGGCCATGTGTTGAATTTTAATAAAAAAGACAATTTTCTGGTATTTAGAAACGATCGATAAGTTACTTACAGTCCCTACATATATAGATTTATATAAGATTTTAATATTATATACAGTTAGTCTTACTGAATTATTAAAAGTATTTATATACAAATTAGATAGAAAAGGCGCAGTTTAGTCAAATTAATGTATATTTCAGATTCTTACAAAAACTGACAGTCACTCTTTATCAGTGCAGTGTGACCAATCAGTTTGAGATAATTATTATTTAAATTTGATTGTTATTAGCAACTTACACATAACATTAATAATAATACAAACATGTTTAGAAAGTGCTTAACAGGCTTAAAAATATATAAAATAAGACAATCTCTCAATAACACAAACAAGGTATGTGTGAAAGAAGCGTAACACATGATTTCCAGGACAATTCTAATTATAATGGTTAATAGTGAGAATTAGAAGTAGTATACGTTTCAAAATGTGTGGTTGCGTGTGTGTGTGTTTGTATGTGTGTGTGAGCAGATGGGTCACAGAGTCACAGTCATACACCACGTACTGTTTATCCAGTGGCAGTGGGGACTGGAGCCTGAGGCTGTAATTACAGAACCCCTTATGTTCTCATCGTGTGTAAAGATATTGCTTTTTGATGGAGGAGGTGGAGGAGTCCTAATGGATAATTTTCCTCCTGTCATTGAGGTTACCCAGAGCTGACCCCTGTGGCCTGGACCAGCACCCCCACAGATCTGCTTGGGGATTGTTTTCCAGATGGTTGCTATCTCCCATGGCCAGCGGGTGTAGTGACTTGATTTCATATGGGATTTGCAACCTTGAGCCCCTGCGGCCCCAACCCCACCCCACCCCGCCCCACACCTCCCAGTCAATGAGTCAGTGTGGCAAGACTGCAACAATGTGTTCACACTCTGCAGATGAAGGAGCTCAGGTATACACAGACCTTTGTCCTCCATGATCCAGTTTGTGATTCAAACATCTTTTTATTGCGCCACATATAATTTGCTAGTTCCACAGGTTTTGGAATTTAACACTTTAAAAGCAATTTCAAGTTCGGGGCTGCTTAGACAGGAAGATGACTATTTACAGAGATTTGAGGACACAGAAATCGGGTTCTAGGTGGCATGACTGCACCCAAGTGTGTGGCTCTTTCTAACAAAGACTTGTGTATATTGTGCAAACTTCCCTCTTATAAAAATCTTGAAATGTATGAAGAACACAAGCAGGTGTTTGGTTATGTACACTATTAAGCTAAATCATGTGAGAGACAATACAGTGAATAAATCTGAGATAAATCTATGTGCATCAATGTAATCTATGTGCAAAAAGACAGACTTTAGCCAATAAATTATACTAAAGATGTTTCCATTGTCATAATAAACTTTTTTTTGCAGCAGAATATTTGGCTTTGAGTTGAATGAATTAATCATGATCCATACCTCTCCCAGCAGACACTGTAAACTGTTTCTGTGATTGTGAGTTGTTTTTTTTAAGGCTGAGGTTTATATCCTGATAGTTGATACTGCACGTGGCTCTCCGTGTCATAGGGTTTCCACTCGTCTTCTCTTTGAGACAAATTCACAGCTGATATCATTTAATGGGAGAATCACTCACCATTCTGAACATGTTAGGGTTAGTGTAATATTCAGGTGCAGTGCCTCTGCTTTCCCTGCCCAGCATGCACAAACTGCATCCTTTGACTTACCTTCCCCTCCCTCTGCTCCTCTGTGACTACACACACCGATTGGCATTCCTTCTAGAAATAAAGATGCCATTCCTACTTGATGAACTCCTGTGGTAAAACCAACTTTTCCCCAAACAGGATCACAAGGCTGTTCATCATCAGTGATATCACTTGAGTGAAACATTCCACCACAAACCAGTTTACTCCAATAATTTTTCTCCTTGTCCCCTTGTCCCACATCCCAGGAGTTTACAGGAACGCAAGCTGCAGAGAAAAAACACTTAAGGCTTTTAATCTATTAAAACTTGAAAACTATTTTTTTCCCCTTACAGAATAAATTGATGTCATAATACTGCCAGGGTCCTGCAGGAGTCCCAGGGGCAAATCTGAGATATAGTCTAGTTTTACTACTTTGAATTTTGCAGGGTTCAGAGGTTTAATGCAAATTGGAGAGTTCTTCATATAACAAATATGAAAAGTCTGGAAACTGATGTATAGAATAAAAAACAGAATTAGGGGACCACAAGCAATACAATCTTGTTATAATATAGAGAAGGTGACCTTAAATTCATAAAATGAAATATGAAAAAATCTGATGATGTGAGGCAGTAGCCACATTTATACTAGAGCACAACAGGAATGACTTATAGTACATATGGACATTTTAGTGATTCAAAAGGATTCAGGCACTAAAGTAGTCAAAGTGAACTGGTAAAGAGATGCTGTAGCTCCCCCTGTTGCTCAGTCTGATTATTTTTGAATGAATGAAGAATTGTTCTCTGATGTTTCATTCAAACAAGATCAATGTGTGTGTGTGTGTGTGTGTGTGTGTGTGTGTGTGTGTGTGTGTGTCTTTTTTAGAAGTAAGCTCATCTAATTAATCAGCACTCTTATCACACTGCATTGTCACTTTCTTAAAACAAAACTTCTCTTTCAGTTTTTCTTGTTCAACATGTGAAGGCTCTGACAACAGTCTGACGGCAGGCGAGAGACCATCTTAACAAAACGTCCAATTCAGATTTTCCTGTTGGACTTTTGCCAGCAGTATCTGCACTAGCTTTACAAACAAAGGCTTTGAAATTTACTTTAACTTTGCTTTAATTTAAAAAAGAGATCATTTACTTATATGTTGGTAAAAGTAGTAATATCACACTGTAAAAATACTCTCTTACACTTAAAAGTCCTGCAGTAAAAGTGTTATGTACATATTGGCAGAAGAAACATTTAAAGTAAAAGCACATATTATGCAAACACTTATTATCATTATTATATTACTGGATTTTTTATGATTATTTATGCTGCAGAAGGTCAGTTAAAGCTTAATTTAGAAAGCCTGGGTTAAGCTTTAACTCTCCACACCGTAGCCATCAGTCAGGAACAGGACATAAACAGTTCACTGAAAACACTGTTATGTATTTTCTAACACTTGACATCACCCTCAAAGGTAAATTCACAATCTGATAAATTTCAGTTCTTAAAGGAACAATCCAGCATTTTGAGAAACATGCGATACTTTATTTTACTGCACTGTAATAACCTAAAAAGTTTGAAGAACCATGAAATTTGGGGCTGATTGCAGCTAAAATAGAAAAAAAATTCTGAGACAGTTATTGGAAACTGTTTATAGACAGAAAATATGCACTCCTTTTAAAGCTAATTATTAATTCTTTCAATTCTATTCTTTCATTATAGGGAACTTAATCCACCACACACTGCCTGTTGAATTGAATGCTTGCCTCCAGACACATTTTACATTTTTGCACTTCCAGCTGACCTGCTCTGCGCTGACTGAACATACACCAGCACTTATTTGGAATTAATTCACTGGAAGTCTGAAAGTGTATCAATTTAACACTGTCTCTATGTTTCCTATCGAATCAGAGCAAATATGTGGAGCTCTTTCCTGGAAACCCTCTATGAATTTACAGTTAAATATCAGTTCTCGTCTAAGAAATTACAGGAAAGACCTAAGTGGTGTCTCCATAGCCATATGAGTCATATAAGAGGATTGTATTTTCATCTCTGTGTGTGCTGTTCAGAGATTGGATGATATTAGGGCTGGAGCCAGGATTTCAAAGATACTGAGGTCACGAGTCAGTTGCCCACTCCCCGACCCTCAACTGTTGGGTGTTATATTTCCCAATATCATGGCCCAAAAGCTGTTTCAAAACTCTCTCCATACCACCTGGAAAATGTTGTAACTGATATTGAATCTTTTATTTATCTGCCTATTTACTCTGAAAGTAGTCACATTTTAATTTAAAAACATAGTGTCAAGATACTGGGATAAACTGATCAAGATGTTTACTTTTATTAGCAAAAAAAACCAACTTGCCCAGAAAAAAAGCAAAAACAAAACAAAAGAAGAAAATAACCCAGTATCCACTGTGCAGCCATGGCCCTGGGCGATGTATGTAAAACGTTGCAGGCAGAGCAGTGTTGACTCAGTATGACCACCTGCCAGTTTTCTGCTGACTTTACACAAAGCAGGCCGCAGCTTAAATAATAGATAGATATATTGATGTCATTAGGAAATGCCATATAAGAAGTATCCTGCAGACCACTTATGAAGTCATCATACACCCACGAAACACGGTTTTCCAACTTGGTTTGAGGAAAAAAGAAGCTTCACTTGGTCTCTGAGCATGTTTGGCTCAGATGACAAATATGCGCAGCAGGCGGCCAGCAGAAAAAACTTGCCAGGAAAATCAGAAAGCATCATTTATTTAGAGAGCTTACTCTTTGATTAGTACAGATCAAAACAATGAGCTGTACTGGATTGATTTTCCTCCTTTTAATTATTGCTGCATGTGAATGAGGGAAACAGTAACTATATGTTGTATTATATTCTCCAGCTGGAATTTGCGTTCACAAGCGTTGCCAAAGGACTGATCATGTTAACAGAACGATATGTTTTACTGTCAAGGGAAACTGATAAAAAAAAATAAAAAAATTACCACACAATGCTATCTCTTAGCTATTCTTGTATTACAAACAACTCATTTCTGCAGTTATGCAAATAGCCCAATTAATATGCTTCTGAGGAATAAAGCTTTGTGCAAGAGTGAGCTCAATAATATCCTCTGAAGAGTGAGTGGTACTTCTGTTTTCATATAAGGAGGAATAACTCTCAGTGCATCTTTTCTCTCTCTCATGATTTTGTTGACAAAGATTCACAGGAGCAAGAAATAATTACTTCTGCTGTTCACTG